CAATTTTTTGTAACATATTTGAGTTCATAATTTGCAGCAGATCCTACTTTAAATAATATAATATTATTTGATAGCGTAAAACATTGTTTTGATAGTTTTTTGGACAAAAAAGTGAACCCTGTCGTACACCTTTGGAAGGCATCACTAAATAGTTCATAGCACAGGCCCTGGGGACCTTTTTCATTTTTTAAAAATATCTCATGGGTCGTGTCTTAGGGAGCTACAAATATAACCCAGTAATGGTTAAATTGCTTTGTGGGCAAAATTCTTTTGTTCCTGTAACAGGTCCTTTAGTCAAAATCCACTGAGCTTGCGCAATGGGGACTTATGTGGGATATCTATATCATCATGTCAGAGCTAGGCGACCAATGTGGGATATCTATATATCATGACAAGCCTAGGCAACCAATGTGGGATATATCTATATCATGTCATAGCTAGGCGACCAATGTGGGATATCTATAGCATCATGTCAGAGCTAGACGACCAATGTGGGATATCTATATCATCATGACAGAGCAAGACGATCAATGTGGGATATATATATGATAGTGTCAGAGCTAGACGACCAATGTGTGATATCTGTATCATCATGACAGCTATGCGACTAATATGGGATCATATCTATATGATCGTGTCAGAGCTAGACGACAAATGTGTGATATCTATATCATCATTACAGAGCTAGACGACCAATGTGGGATATCTATATCATCATTACAGAGCTAGACGACCAATGTGGGATATCTATATCATCATGACAGAGCTAGACGACCAATGTGGGATATCTATATGATCGTTTCAGAGCTTGACAACCAATGTGGGATATCTATACGATCGTGTCAGAGCTTGACAACCAATGCGGGATATATATATGATCGTGTCAGAGCTAGACGACAAATGTGTGATATCTATATCATCATGACAGCTAGGCGACTAACATGGGATATATTTATCATGTCAGAGCTAGACGACCAATGTGGGATATCTTTATCATCATTACAGAGCTAGATGACCAATGTGGGATATATATATGATCGTGTCAGAGCTTGGCGACCAATGTGGGATATCTATATGATCGTGTCAGAACTAGGCGACCAATGTGGGATATCTATATTATCGTGTCAGAGCTAGGAGACCAATGTGGGATATCTATATGATCGTGGCAGAGCTAGACGACCAATGTGGGATATCTTTATCTTCATTACAGAGCTAGATGACCAATGTGGGATATATAGATGATCGTGTCAGAGCTAGGCGACCAATGTGGGATATCTACATGATCGTGTCAGAGCTAGGCGACCAATGTGGGATATCTATATGATCGTGGCAGAGCTAGACGACCAATGTGGGATATCTTAATCATGACAGAGCTTGGCGACCAATGTGGGATATCTATATGATCGTGTTAGAGCTAGGCGACCAATGTGGGATATCTATATGATCGTGTCAGAACTAGGCGACCAATGTGGGATATCTATATGATCGTGGCAGAGCTAGACGACCAATGTGGGATATCTTTATCATCATGACAGAGCTAGGCGATCAATGTGGGATATCTATATGATCGTGTCAGAGCTAGACGACCAATGTGGGATATCTATATCATCATGTCAGAGCTAGACGACCAATGTGGGATATCTTAATCATGACAGAGCTAGGCGACCAATGTGGGATATATATATGATCGTGTCAGAGCTAGGCGACCAATGTGGGATATCTATATGATCATGACAGAGCTAGGCGACCAATGTGGGATATCTATATGATCGTGTCAGAGCTAGGCGACCAATGTGGGATATCTATATGATCGTGTCAGAGCTTGACAACCAATGCCGGATATATATATGATCGTTTCAGAGCTAGACGACCAATGTGGGATATCTTTATCATCATTACAGAGCTAGACGACCAATGTGGGATATATATATGATCGTGTCAGAGCTTGACAACCAATGCGGGATATATATATGATCGTGTCAGAGCTAGACGACCAATGTGGGATATCTTTATCATCATTACAGAGCTAGACGACCAATGTGGGATATATTTATCATCATGACAGAGCTAGACGACCAATTTGGGATATCTATATGATCGTGTCAGAGCTAGACGACCAATGTGGGATATATTTATCATCATGACAGAGCTAGACGACCAATGTGGGATATCTTTATCATCATTACAGAGCTAGACGACCAATGTGGGATATCTTTATCATCATGTCAGCTTGGCGACTAATATGGGATATCTTTATCATGTCAGAGCTAGGCGACCAATGTGGGATATCTAAAGCATGTCAGCTAGACGACCAATGTTGGATATATATATATCATCATGACAGCTAGACGACCAGTGTGTGATATATATATCATCATGACAGCTAGGCGACTAATATGGGATATCGTTATCATGTCAGAGCTAGGCGACCAATGTGGGATATCTAAAGCATGTCAGCTATGTGACCAATGTGGGATATTTTTAAAAAAAAACTGTTGGGCTACTTACCTGTTTCACTTTTTATTTTATTGTAGAGAATTTTATGAAAGACCTCATATGATTTCTTTTATTACTCAGTAACTGTATTTTGTGTTTATATTCACCTAGATGATAACGAGTGTACGCTGAATTATGGCGGTTGTGAGGATATTTGTATTAATATGGTTGGTTCCTACTACTGCAAGTGTAGTACAAACGAGGGCTTCCAGCTGTCTAGTGACCTACACAATTGTACAGGTACGTAAACTGTAAGTAGTAAGACGTGTTAGTCCGTTACGTATACAAACGAGGACTACCAGTTGTCTAGTGACCTACACAATTGTACATGTATGTAAACTGTAAGTAGTAAGACATGTTAGTCTGTTACGTATACAAACAAGGACTACCAGCTGTCTAGTGACCTACACAATTGTACAGGTACGTAAACTGT